AGTAAAGTATCTTAAATGGAAAGCAACGTGCTGTGGTGTTGGAGCCTACTACAGCCCCTGACTCTAAGCCCACTGTTACACTGTAAATTAATAATAAAACATAAACAGCAAACAAAGTGAACCTTATAAAATTAACTGTTAGTCTATTTTGTGTTTAAGTCATTACATTTGCAATCCGCTTTAAAGAAACTTGGAAGGACGACCAAGCTGGGTCGGCCATATTGGAGATTCGAAAAGAACTCGAGAAACTTAATTAAAATTTTAATTGTAAAATTCAATTTCAAAAAAAAATTTACAGCGTTTTAAATAAGTACAAATTAAATGAACCATAAACAACTCAACTTTATTACTTTAAGTGATTGCATTCAGATTTTTAGGGTCGTTTTTAGACCCTAAACACGTAAATCGTCAAACTTATTATTATATTAATCAAATCAAATATTTTATGAAGCTATATCTATAATTACTTGTTGATTCTTTCTTGTTTAAATCTTTACATAAATATTGTTCTTATCTACAAAGCTGTATTATTGAAGAGCGTACTATTTAAAGTCTATCCTTCTATTATCAGTCAAGCGACCAATACGTATCTATTCTAAACGGTTTGTAAAAATGACCTCAACCTAATGAGCAGTTATCTCTGTCTCTCTGACCAAACATTCATGTATATAATATTACTAATGGTATATATGGATATTATATACTTTTTTATATATATGTACAAGTGTTTGATTTTATATATTCATTTGAATGGCATTATTGTGACACAATGGTCCATAGTACACTGGTCACGGCTTCTAGGCTTTGTTTGGCATTCCAAGTCTAAACACTAATTACTTTTAGTCTGCTTAGCCTAATTACCAAATTTACATTACACAAACAACGATAAGAGAATAGATAGTTTCTTTCTTCTAAAATCATTTGGCACTTGGCATTTGCCAGACTTCTTGGAATTACGCTCAACACAGTTTCTATTGCTGCGATTGATAATTTTTGGGATTTTCCCTCTTCATCTCCTTTGCATATTCCACTTGTGCGTGTGAGAATATGAGAATATCTCATTGATATGTATTTATCTTTGATTCCCTGGATATATTCCTCTGCACTTTCCTATACACACAACAGCATACTTGCGTTCTCACTCGTATGTCTGATGCGCTACAATTGCACTTGCGGCCTAATTGATACCTGACTTTTTAAACATCGAGTGACTGATCTCATATCTACAAGGTAAGGACAGAATAAGACATGCAGTTACATGAACATGCAATACACGCAGATGAATGTGCAGCCAATGATGTTGTGTTTTAGTTTCTTAGAATTCTCATAATTTTTCAGTGTGTTTAATAAGCAGGTTTCGCTGGTGAACACCCACTTTCAAAGTTTCATAATTTCCATAGTTGTCTTTCCTCGTCTTTACTTTTACTAATGACTTCGCTTTTGTCTTTTTCTAATATTTTTGATTTTTTTTATAAAAAATTTTTTTATTTTATGTGTTCTTTAAAGTGTTTAGTCGCTTATCTTCGAGTTCTTCTCTGTAGCTGCGAACTCGCACCGTCTCTTGATTCCGCACTGTGAACGCAATATTCGGTTTCAACTCGAGTTGCAGGCTCACTTAATACATTTTACCTGGCCGCGCAGCTGGGAACTGAGGTACGAGTATCTGTTATAATTTAGCGCCATTAAATTTAGTACAAGACCGATGTTCCCATATTTTCTCTCTGAACAGTGCATTTTCATTACAAATAAACGAAAATATTTTTGATTGATTACATAAAAATCATTTTATTCTGTACACTGCTTCGATACTAAGTTTGTTTTAATTGCCACTGGTTAAAAGAAATATTCTCAATTAATTATTGAAATTCTTTTAAAAAACTAATTAAGTCACTTTTTTATAAAATTATGTGAATAATGTAACTTGATTCAAAATTACAGCCACCAACATAAATTGCCCCAAACCAGGTATACATTAAGACTGAAAAGTTTTCGGAAATTCTCATTTAAAATTCGCGCGCTGTATATTTTTCGATATTTTAAGTTTATGTAGTTTGGCAGCACTGTCCTTAATTACTATGCAAAAAATGAGCTCGATCTGTCAGACAGTTCGTTTACGGCAGCTGTTGAAACCAGTTCACCTCAGTAGTGCGTTGCGAAATGTCTTCGACGGTCGTACGACCGTCCTGAAAGGCTTTGTACCACTCATAAACTTGAGTTTTCGATAAAACTGATTCCCCATAAGCCTTTTGTAGCATTCGCAACGATTCTGCACACGAAATTTCGTTCGAAACACAAAATTTGATGCAAACTCTTTGTTCAATATTTTTTTCCATTGTTTTTTTCGCAACGCACTACTGAGGTGAACTGGTTTCAACAGCTGCCGTAAACGAACTGTCTGACAGATCGCGCTCATTTTTGGCATAGTAATTAAGGACAGTGCTGCCAAACTACATAAACTTAAAATATCGAAAAATATACAGCGCGCGAATTTTAAATGAGAATTTCCGAAAACTTTTCGGTCTTAATGTATAACATGGTTCCAAATAACTCAACCTGAAATAATCGTTTTTGTTTGAAAATATCCAAAACTGACAAGTAACTATCAAAAATAAAATCGAGCAGTCACTAAGTTCTTACAATAGAATATTTCCTTTTATTGATCCATATTTATTTTCCAACATATCCTTCTTTCAGATCGACAAGATTAATCAAACTAATCTGTAACTTCATTAAAATTTATTTAAATTATTGACGTGAAGTCGCCCAACAGCTGGTACTGCGACTAGAAGAGTCCTATTGCACCAATTTTACTATTGATTATACAAAGCCCTTTAAAGCTTTGTGAAAAAAGTCCAGATCTAAATCTAGAGAAGAGCTCTTAATCTGTTCTGGTATTAGAAAGTCCATATGAAATGAGTTTCATCTGTGCGTTGTTGAAGCTGTGCAGTCACAAAGAATGTGCATAGTAGTTTCCTCATCTTCGAGGCATAATATTTATTTCGAATTAGCAGATAAACGTAGTTTATAAAGGTGATATATCAAAACAAAATGTCACGTGATGAAACCTGTTATCAACCTTATATTACCTTTTGAGAATTTAAGAATGTTTTTGTAGGAGTACGGTTTGATCACTGCTTTGATTTGTCTAAGTCCTGAAAAGTTTACCTATTATACCCACCGCATATAATTGCCCCTCTCCTTGATTATTTTTTTTATACTGGCCCAGTATAACCACAAAAGAGTTGTGGGCCTATAAAAGCAATTTTGGATGCAGTTCTGGCTAGCTTATTAGCTTGTCCATTTCCCAAACACTATGGCCCGATTTAGTTCTGTTCATTTCTTGTCCAGAACACTAGGCTTTAAGAAGATCGAAACATCTGTTGAGCCTAACTAACAATATTTGAGTGAGTATCAGCGATACTTTTATTGTGATACTGTCCAGCCTTATCCAGATTCAGTTTTTAACTTAAGGGCGCTCATTCTTTAATTCATAGAAATTAATCAAATACTTGTATTGCTTTTCTCCAAAATTATGAAAATTTGGACTTAAAATAGATTTTTTTAACTAATTAAAATGGGTTCGACCCTCCTTCTAATTTATATATTTATCTATCTACTCTGTTTGAAATTTTCTGTAAAAACAGCAAAATAATGTGATGTGCAAGTCTGCATACATACAAGATTTTATAAAATTGTCGATCTGTGTGATATATTTTCTACGATAAAAAACACCGATATATAATATCGCCGCTTACGAACGTCTTTCCTCAACGTAACGGAGTAAGTCTAGAGGAGAGCAGTACCATAAAATGAGTGGTGTCTTCTCTTATCAAAGTAACATTATAAAATGTAGTCAATATTTTTTTTTAATTTTTTCATAACTTTGTTTAACAAGACAAAGAATTCCTCATTTCCATAATAAATTCACCCATAAACAAATCTAGATGGGTTGTCATATATTTGAATATTTCTTCCGCAACCTGTTATTCGATATTAAGAGTACAAAGTATAACGTATAAACTATTAAATAAATACAAAACCGAAGTGATCTATCAATCAAAACTTATTTTTTCATTTTTAACATAGGTCCGATCCCATCGAGAGCTATACAACAATACCACCGCTGAAATCAATCCAAATTTTACGTAAACTAAACCAGATATAGACACTGCAAATATCTTCCTTAAAATGGTAGTTTTAACTTTGAGGTGACTATCTGCTTGGCCAATCACATTCGTTGAGTATTTCTGCCTTGAACTCTTTTAAAACCAGGTATTTCCATCATATGTTTTTTGTTAATTAAAAATGTAGGGTACTCTCTACTTAGAATAGGTTTAGTTCTATTTTGACAGGTTCCTTTTCTACTTTACAACAATATATGCCCCCTAAAATCTTCTTTCTTACTTTCTTATCTGTGGATAGGAATTTTAAAACTTAAATTGAATAAAGTGTTAAATGAATATTTATTATGAAAATTGTCATTATCATAAAATTAAAGTCACGCCTTCATCGAGCAAGTACACATTATACTTTTTGATCTAGATAACAAGTGATCTAGATAACGAATAAAATTCTGTGGCCCTGTAATACAGTGGAGAAGATATACCAGGGTGTTTGTGATACAAAAACGACTAATTTTGGACAGGAAAATGGATATGCTTTTTGCGCTTAAGCATCAGTTATTAGGAAAGTTGAACTAGAAAGTGTAACAGTTTAAGGCGGATCCTGAAGATCTTTGAGAGAATTAAAATTATTGTTTAGCAGTGGTAAGAATAGAAGAGAATACAAAGAAGAAATAATGAAAGAAAAAGAACTCCAAAAAGTGATTGCATTTAAAAAAAGGAATGATAATTTGAAGCTTTTCAAATATATGACATTTACTACATGAAATATTTTATTACTTCACAAAAAGTATTCTAAAAAAATTACCATCAATATTTCTTAGAAAAAATTTAAAACATTTCTCTGATTAAATTTCATTACAAATGTAAAACTAAAAAAATAAATATATTATATTTTGTACAAACTTTTTGGGTCATTTTTAGAAATCAAAATTCTCCGTAATAAATTATATTTTTGGAATCATGGCTTTTGGATTGTGTGGAGGTACACTGTTCCCAAAATTTTTTCACGCACGAGTGTTGTCGTCTCCATCGAAAAAATTTAACTCAATATCGGAAAAGCGAGATGAAGCACAAGAAGCATTGGATTTTGCTGAACCCAGAACAGTTTTACGTAAACTTCAGAATGATACGCATAAAATTCCACCGATTACGCAACAAGTAACTCCATTACAACGTTCAATTGGTGTCGTTCCGCATCCTAAGATCGAAAAACGCTTACCGAGTCCCTACGGTGATGGATGCTCCTTAAGATCAAAAGTGGAGAAGATGTACGTGTATCGTTAAAATGATGTTTGTCGCTAATCCACTGTGTCGTCTCTAAAATATATGTTCGTCAGCGTTAACGTAAGTACTTTTATATTTGCTAACTGAAGACGATTCACATATGCTAATACTTCTAGAACCGTCAGCGTTTAAAATTGGTTGTTTTTAATACAGTGCATGAAATAAATATTGGAAAATTATATAAAATACGGCGAGAATGAGGTATCTATGAGAATTAGTACAACAATTTCAAATAAAGTATTGCATAAAGATCAAGAATTATTCAAATATGTTTACTTTGGTTCATACAGCATTTATCAAACGTTCTCGAAATGACGTGTGTCAGACTTGTGTCAGTTGGTGAAAGGAAACTTTATAAACATCCAACCAAAGTATAGACCAAGCTCATATATAATTTCTACGCAGATGACAAAGAGTCGATTTATAAAGTTGACACCAAAGAATAAGATCAATTGAGAAATGGTGTTGTAGTCCAATGGTTAACAATCCAATGGTTAAAAATGTTGAGAATAAAACACAATAAAGCGTATGATAGGGTAATTAATACATCTTAACTTTGCCTTAATAAAATAAACGAGTAAATTCTTATTAGTGTGTATCCTTTATGGAGTTGAAGTCTATCTACTACGTAAAACCATTCATAACTATAAGAGAAAAAACTTTCTCAAATGAAGAAAGGAAATCAACAACAGTGGTTCTTTCCTTATTACCACAACTTCAGGAAGGTGCATATAAAAATCCACCGATTAGCAATATTTTACTATGTTATTATATTCTGTTGGTATCAATTCGCTTACTAAAATCGATTGACGAGTTCCAAGTCCATATATTGAGGGATGCTACTTGAGAGCAAAAGTAGAAAAGATAAGTGTATCAGCAATAAGAAAGGATATAACTCAGTAAATTCACTACGACGTTCCTTATAATACATTCGTCAGAATTTAAGCAAGTAACTATCTTCCATGTAGCCTGATGTCAAATCCCATAAGCTAAGGATTGATTTTCTTCTGTTAAGAATATTGATATATAAGTCTAATAGAATAAAATAAGTCAAGCTTTATTTTATTCTCTTAAGTATATATATCAATAAATCTAATAGTCTAAAACAATTCTTTTAAATTTCATAACAAAGAGTGCAATGATAAAGTAATGAAGTTACTGGCAGAACCGTCAGCGTCTAACATCGATTTCAATATAATGCAAAAAAAGAAGAACCGAAGAATTGTTAAAATTCAGTGAAAATCAGGTATCTTAAAGAAATTTTATAATAATTATAAACCGAATATTATTTATTACATAGAAGAAATAAAATGTATTTTCTTTGGTTCACACAGAATTTATCAATCAGTCAAGAAATAACGGGTGTTAATGAAAATTCAACCGGAGTATTGACCAAATTCTTGAATGCTTTATATGCAGGCGAAAAGGACTAGATTCATAAATTTGGAAACCAAAATAAATCCAATCATAAAGCAGTGCTCTAACAGTAGAAAATGAATGGATTTTTAAAATTGGAACTGAAAAACATATGAAATCGGAAAGTAGTGCTCTAAGTGTATGGTTACCTAACAAAAGTTGTTCAAAAATAAAGCACCTTAAAGCATTTATGGCAGGTAATTATTATACTCTCTAAATTTAAAATTCAATAAGTACATATAGTAATAAACTCTTATTAATAGAGTTCTCGATCTACATCGTCCTCAGAATTTAAGTCCATCTAACTTTTTAAGAAGAAGAAAAGCAAACCAATAACAGTAGTTTGTTTTTTTTACGTCAATCTAAGCTTACGAAAAACATATTCAAACTGCAGTATATTAGAGGACTTAACACAACGACTTGATGAATCATTCATCATCTGATGTTAGGATTCCAATGATCTAATACTGCTGTCAAATAAGAAAAATTGGCTATAAAACAATACATTTCGTTAACGGAGGAAAGAACTAACATATTAAGAACTGGTATTTTAGAAATACCTTAATAAGTAGTAAAATGCCATGTATTTCAAGAATATTAAAAAAAGAAATACAGAAATTAAATAAAATTACTTAACAACAATGCATTAGTCTATATTGAAGCTATTTGAGCCAGTGCAATTGAGCACTTTTACTCTTTATTAACTCGAGGTATCTTCAAAACCCCTCTTTATGCCTTGACTGGATTAATGTTTATCACTTTATCAGACTAAGCAATAACTGAGGAACCTGTAACTGAGCTTTTATAACGCGGTGTTGGTAAGTCTGTCAGGTTTCGCAAATAATTTCAGGGCTCTATCCTTTATGTATTTTTTGATCGGATTAATCTTGAGGTCCCTGAGGATGTCATTCGTCCTAATACACCATAGTACTTTAATTAGTTTTCTCAGAGCCTGGCTTTGTGCAATTTCTAACTGACGAATAGTAGTGTTTGAAGCTTTGCTAAACGCCATTCATCCATATAGAAGTGACGGACGAATTATTTGGTTATATATCAGCTTCCTGTTCTTAGCATTGAGATTTTCATTTCTGAATAGCGATTGGAGGTGATGAAGAATTTTGGCACAGCTAATTCTTTTCAGTTGAATATGTTTAAGCCATGTGAATCGTTTGTTCAACGTGATGGCGAGATATTTAACGCTATCCTCCCAGTTTATTACTATATCTGCCACTCTCACTGTATTAGTTTTAATGATGATTAGAATTTAGTTTTAATAAGTTTATTTTTATTGACTTATAATAGATTTTCCACGACTTATTGTATGTATATATGTACATATAACTTACCAAAAGTCAACTCGTCTTATGATCGTAATAATCTTACATTAAAAAAGTATACGACAAATGACTTTGCTTGTGCCAAAGCTAAACGTAGTATGACAGATTCTATTAAGAATATTAGTTTGATATACCAATCAAGAAAGGTTGATATTAATTTCAACTTGAATGTACACACGTCTCAGTATTTATATATACTTTTAAAACGAGTTCTAGATCTGTCCTTCTTACAAAAAAATATATAAAACGTATGTTTAAAAAAAAATATCAAAAAACAAATTTTTCAGTTGCATAAGGTGCGGTTATCTCTTACTGAATCATCGATCTTGATTGCGGCTAACATTCTCTCCAGCCGTTATACATATTCCCCGCTGAATCTAATCAGATATATTTATATATAGATTACCTAGCACTTGATTTTACACTTTAAAAACGTCTTTCTTTTTGGGTTAGTACCGATTCGAATGTTATTTTTCATTCTTGTGATATATTCTAAATAACGCAACCCCCAGTACTAGTTAAATAAACAATTATTATATAACAAAAAAAAAAAATAAACCAATTTAAACGATCTTAATTAAATAAAGTCAAATGAACTTCGGAACGTCGGTGATATTTTTATAGATAATAACTTGACCAACTTAATAGTGTTTTACTCAGATTTACAGAAGCGTTATATAATTATTATTATTTTTACATTTTTAGAATTATTAAAATCAAAAAAATCGAATTATTTTTCAAATTCAAAACTACTTTTCTAAACAAACAAATCGTTTGCAATAAAAAGTTCTGAATTACATTAAATAAAAATCATGTTCAAGCAGTAAACAAATTATTTTTCCAATAATTTACACAAAAACCGAAACCCTACAAAAAAACCCATATGTGATTATTATCTCTGACAGATGAGAAGCACGTTTGATTGCAAACATTATTTTGACAAAGTAAAATACGGGGAAAATCCACGAATTTTGTGAATTAACAGCACAACTCAGACAAAGAACATTACATCTGGTCAAATTGAGATCGATCGTAAATAAAATACCTCAGCAATCTTTGGTTAGAAGGATCACAATCCTCCAGACACATATGCAGACATGCGCTAATGTAGCAAACTGTATAACCAGACGTAGACGTAGACGAAATCAAATGCTTAGCGAAAGGAGTTCAACAGGTCGAGGAAGCGATGCAGTCTCAACTTTTATTTATTTATTTTTTTTCCTATTCAAGGAAGCAGGACACAGCTGTGTATATGATATATATATGTATAAGGACATCAGGTGCAAATGTTGCACAGGTACGAGTACCACAGCATACTACACTCGCAACACTTGCAGTTTCCTTCGTTTGTGTTTGTATTTTTTTCGAGTTGAGGGATGATGGCATAGAATTAGGTCGTTAAAGATTTGCACCTGATTAAATGTGATCTCAAGAAAGATTGGAAGGATATCTACTGGTTAGAGGTGAGTGGTAAATGAATCGCATTGACTTTAAAAGTCTTTGTTTAAAAGAACGAATTGAGTTCCTTTAAAATTATAAAGAGAAGATAATTTTATATAATTTTGGAATTATAAATTATTATCGAATTTGGACACTTTTTAATTCTTAGTGATAAAATACTTTAATTTATTAATATTGTGTATGTATATATCTGTATGTAGGATATATAGTTATTATATTAACAAGCAATTGATAAATGAGATCTACTTATGTTAAAGTAAAAAAATAATGTTAATATAAATAAAGAGAGATTTGTATGTAAATAACTTTTGATTGCCAAAATTATATTTTAACATATGATATGTTACATTACTTACTTGCGGTAGTCGTCTTCTCTTTGTGGAGCATAGGGCCTCACAATAAATATTACATTAAGTTGACTGTTTAAATGCCACAGTGTGAGGAATGAATATGGAAGATTGCAGCCACGTGCAGCGGATACAACCCCAATCCAGTAATCAAAAGAGAGAGATTAAAGCAAGAAGCTTAATACCTAGTGGAGTATGTTCATCTAAGCCAAAAAGCATGGGCGTAAAGCAGGGAAATTGGTTGTTAGTGAAGGGAATGGGGTTATTGCTCAAGCTCGAGGATACTAGCGGTAAACTCTGTGATAATGATTAATTTTAGTTTGGGGAGTTGTCTTAAGTCACGTGCGAATATTTTGGAGAATCGACAAGAACGAAGATTTCTTGGTTAAAAATTGCTAAGGAAAGTTATAATAGCTTTGTGAAATATTGCATTATTGTGCAACAAAAAGCAAAACACTGACTTTCGATATTTCCACCGACTTCGTCAGATTTTGGCTACAATTCCTTATAGCACTTTCAAATAATACATATATTTTGTCATCTTTTATCATCTGATTGTTCAGCATATGAATGCATTGTGAAGCATACACTCTGAGTCGAGAAAAAGATTCCGCATTGTCTTAATTTCAGTCTTGGGAGGCAAAATGTTAACTCATTTCGGTTTTCTGATGATTTCCATGCTGCACTCTGACAATTGATTTTCAATTCGCATTGAAAAATCATTTTTTACCAACAATAGTATTCTCTGGATAATTAGAAGGATATAATAAAACTGATCAATTATACTTTATATCAAGCATCTTTAATATCAAAATATTATTATTGTACTTTCGAAAGAAATTCTATTTACTTCTGATCGGGAATTATTTACAATATAAGCGATCTGTTAAAATTGCGTTACCTCGTTCGATTTTTAACCTTTCTATGTAATAATTATTTTTTAATATTATTTAGTGTTATTTTACAGCAAGACTAACACATTTACAACAAACTCTATTATAGGTAAATATAAATAAACAAACTCTATTATAGATAAATATATACTTAAAACGGATTAACTGATGTGGCTATATTCTGGTTTCAAAGATCAGAGCATCCTTTGGGGATATGAAGATGATATATATTTTTTCTGATTGATTGTATGAACATAATACAAACTTCATACTTAAGAAATATTTAAGGTGAGAGTATTCAGCTTAGAAATGTTGGCTATCAGTTGACACATGTCTGAAGTGACCATAATCATCACTCCAGCAAAATGATTATACGAAATTGCAATCTAACAATCAATATCACGATAAGATGGTTTCTCATATTGAAATGAAACTTCACTTTAAGCAGCGGTAAGCCCTTTTTTATTCGTTTTTATTTGGCATGGTAACACCTCTGATTTGATTACTGTCCAAGTGTTCAAATATTTTTTAACAGTGAAGATTATTGATATAAAGTGTACCGAATCACACGTCAAGCAAAAAAAACTTGAAAGAATTTACAATTTTATTGCATTTTGAATTTTTTTTTTATTTTAAATATGTGCAGACGTTGTGGCATCCCCCACTTTTAAAATCTACGGAACGGCAATTCAATTCAGAAAAAGCGCACTTGAAAACCTATTTGGATGTGTCAAAGTCAATTAATTGGAAATGGAAAAAGGAGCATAGAAGCTGTCTGCACACTTGGTCAATAACAAAGCATTAAATAGAAAAAAATTAATAAAGATAAGAAGTTTTTTCTGTGCTTCTTTCCGTGCAAAGCACAAAAAAAAACAACACTAATAATCATAACAATAAAAAATCCCCTGTTGGCATAAACTTTTTATTTGGTTCCGGTAAGCGATGCGCATATGCAATCTTCCATAAGTAATCCGAATACAAATAGGAACGCTCGCTTACCTTGTGATATAAAACATGCCACACGCTGCTGCTGCCGCTGCGGAACACACGCTCTACACACGGACGTATGCAGCGGCAAATGCACACATGGTCAAAGCCAGAGTCACATGCAGGCAACGTATGTTTACACATCTAAGCAGGGAAAGCTAAGCACCACAGTACAGGGCACGAAGCGCAAAGCTGACAGGCGGCATATCGTCAAGCGGGTGGCAAGCAAAAAGGCAACAACAGCGGTAACAACAGATTCAGATACTACACACTCACACTACACACACTACACACACTACATACACACACATACACATATATATATAGATTACACTATGCCTTCTCAAACGCACAGTTGGCAGGAAGAATATTATCAACCCTATTGATGGGAGAGATTCGCGTATGTGTAGTATGAGCAATGCTGCTTAGCAATGTGAAGAGCCACGTAGCCCTCCACGAACAAAGACAATGTTTCATACTTAGCACACGAACCACCCCACCTAATGAAATGCCAACGAACTGAACTCATGCACGAGGCGAGTCGTGCCGGCGAATAGAACAAAAGAAACG